GCACACTGCAGCTGATGGTCCAGCGGCTTCGTTGCCAGGTGGACTGGGGCGGCAGTTGTCAGCCAAGTGGATCCCGGATGTTGTGGATGGTGGAAGTTAGGGAATGGTGAAGAATGTGTATATATATATAAATATTATTAGATTATATACTATATATAAATGATATTATATATATATATTATATGTTGCATATTGCATACTACATATTACATATATGATATATTGAATATTATTGATTATATATTACATTTTATACACTACATATATAATATTATGTTATTTCTTGAAATATTATATACATTATATACTATAAAATTAAATAGCTGTAGTATATGATATATTAGATAGATCGACCGATAAATCGATAGATAGATAGATAGAAAGATAGATAGATAAATAGGATAAGATAGATAGATAGATAGACAGACAGACAGACAGACAGACAGACAGATAGATAGATAGATAGACAGATAGCCAGATAGACAGATAGACAGATAGACAGATAGACAGATAGACAGATAGACAGATAGATAGATAGATAGACAGATAGATAGATAGACAGATAGATAGACAGACAAGATAGATAGATAGATAGATAGATAGATAGATAGATAGATAGATAGATAGATAGATAGATAGATAGATAGATAGATCGGATAGATAGGATAAGATAGATAGGAAGATAGATAGATAGATAGATAGATAGATAGATAGATAGATAGACAGATAGACAGATAGACAGATAGACAGATAGACAGATAGACAGATAGACAGATAGACAGATAGACAGATAGATAGATAGATAGACAGATAGATAGATAGACACATATATAGACAGATAGATAGACAGACAAGATAGATAGATAGATAGATAGATAGATAGATAGATAGATAGATAGATAGATAGATAGACAGATAGATAGACAGACAGACAGATAGATAGATAGATAGATAGACAGACAGATAGATAGATAGTTTGGCAATGTTTGGCATATTTTGAAACTATTTGACACATTTGAGAGATGGAATTCGGGAAAACGCATGTGATGATTTGCGTGGCAGAATTGTCGCATGTGCATGGGTGGCCTCGTGGTTCTGGTTGGACGTGTCGACAGGTCCGAACGGTGAGCCTGAGATCAAGCGTTTGAGGAGTGAGAAGTGAAAAGCGCGCAGGGCAGTAGTGATAAATTTAGTGCAGTAGGAAGTAGTGATAAAGTAGTAGTGAGTAAGTAGTAGTGAGTGATAATTAATGATGATTAATGGTGATTAATGATGATCATGAGATATCATTAGTGGCAACTTCAACTTGGCTCTCAAATTACATTGGCTCATCCTTGGTCTGACACCATTCCGAAAGTCAGCTTCATGTATAGAGAGGAAGAAATTTCCGTTGACTGAGTCTCGATTCTCTTGGGACCCAGCAACAAGCCAGGAGGCTCAGACACTGCTGGACTTGTTTTCATCTAGCTGTCAGGCAAGAAGAGTTGCCACGGAGCCTGTACATCTCGGACAAGAAGCATTTCTAGATTTACAGGCTGCCTGGCAGCGTGAACGCTCCTCGGCACAATGACCTTGCCGTGATTTCAGATATCTCAGAAAACGCCGATGCATAGTATATAAGTGAAATACTTGCAGCAGGAAGTCTTTCTTGAAGTATTGTGGGATATTGTTAGGATCCGTGCGATTTCAATAAGTCCCGATGAATTTATGGGGCATTGGAGCGAAATAACTAGCTTCCATCAACTTGCCCGTGCATCATTTGAAAGGAAGATACCTTCTGACTTTCCTCTTCTGAGGAGACGAGTGGGTTGCAACTTGCGATAAACTGCGCGCCTCAGCTCAGAAGATATTGCGACGTATTGGGATATATTGGCAGTTTCTTTCTTGTTCACAGCTTTCACATCTCCGACATTCCTCAGTTGAACGATGAGAGACATCTCGTTTGTTGAAAGCTGAAACCAACTGAAGCCCCGAGGCTGTCAAACCCTTGCTGCTCAAGGGGAAGCCGAGGCAGCACGCCTGACTGAGGCGCCAAAGCGCACCTATTGAGACATGTCATGCAATGATTATCATGATTGCAATCTCATATATCTCATGCAATAGCCAAAAACATGGCTTTTGTTCAAACCACGGTTTAGGTTTAAACCGAAGCATGTGTGTAAACCAGGATTTGGAAAAGGCCATATTAAACAGGTAACGCGTGTAAAAGGTGTTCGGCGCAAAAGCCAGTGGATCAAGTATTAGATATAAGAAGCGACGGAGTAAACCGATGGCAAACACAACAAAAAAGACAGAAACAACCATCGAAAAATGCCAACAAAATGTGCAAAACCAGGGCAGAGTCGAGCCCAGCACGGGGGGGTTCAAGTTAGATGAGGCAAAAATCCGCGCCAAGGGGAAAGTCTAGACAAAGACACAAACAAACAGTACAACTACGAACAAGACACGCCGGCAGGCCGGCTGATTTTGAGCTAGAAACCATAGACATTCACAAACCATCCAGTTTTGTGGGAATTTGGGAATTTGCCAGTTTCAGCTCTGCTGTACCCACATCCGATGGGCGACCCATTGGCGACAGGAGTTGCAGTCTTTGCGTGTGAAGCTGAGCGAGGCTCCTGCTTGCCATTTTGCAGATGTACATATTATGCAAATGTCGATGCATACATCTTATATATTTTGTTATTGTACACATAGCTGACATAGCTATTGTCCATGTACATTCATGTACAGTATATAATATGGGTGTATATTTTTGTTTATTCTAAACATATATATATAGAATACTGTATGATTTAACGTATTAGTCAATGTTTCAATGTAATAATGTATTACGGTATTAATATGTATTGATGCATTAAGGTCTTAATGTATTTTAGTCCTGTCATGTATAATGAACGCAATGCACTGCAATTTCACTTGAACTGCAATGCGATGCAATGTTTTGCTGGGTAACGCATCGCAATGTAGTGTAACGTAATGCAACTCAATGCAACTCAAAGCACTGCAATGCAATGTAGCGTAATGTAGTGTAATTTAGTGTAATGTAGTGAAATTCAGTGTACATATCGTAGTGTAATGTAGTGTAATGTAGTGTAATGCAGTGTAATGTAGTGTAATGTAGTGGAAAAACCCAAACCGACCGGCGAATACAGGTGGCCTTTCAATTCTTCCGAGAACTTACAATATATTGTACTGTAAGTTCTCGGAGGAAAATGCAAATGACGAACAGTTTGTTGTTTCACCGGATGAACTTTCCGGACGAACTTTCAAAACTAGGATGCATGCACGGATGCGGACCATGCGGCAATGCAAAGTCACAAATAAAAACTGTTCCGAAGGTCGCTTTCATGAACGTAGTTTTGTCTCCTGGTTCATTCATTACTTGCGGGATGTGTGCCCAAATTTTCAAAACCAATTGCCTGTTTTTTTGAATCATTGGTTACGGGATGGCTGTGAGGAAATGGTTGTGACGTGCGATGCAATGTGAAACTCTCCATTCTGGTTCGAGGGATTTTACAAACAGATTCAGTAGGAAACATGGAGCACCCCTTGAACTGGGAATCGTTTTGCCAACCAGTAGAACTGATAGAGAACCCAGGAAACTTCTGTTGACTGAGTCTCGATTCTCTTGGGACCCAGCAACAAGCCAGGAGGCTCAGACACTGCTGGACTTGTTTTCATCTAGCTGTCAGGCAAGAAGAGTTGCCACGGAGCCTGTACATCTCGGACAAGAAGCATTTCTAGATTTACAGGCTGCCTGGCAGCGTGAACGCTCCTCGGCACAATGACCTTGCCGTGATTTCAGATATCTCAGAAAACGCCGATGCATAGTATATAAGTGAAATACTTGCAGCAGGAAGTCTTTCTTGAAGTATTGTGGGATATTGTTAGGATCCGTGCGATTTCAATAAGTCCCGATGAATTTATGGGGCATTGGAGCGAAATAACTAGCTTCCATCAATTTGCCCGTGCATCATTTGAAAGGAAGATACCTTCTGACTTTCCTCTTCTGAGGAGACGAGTGGGTTGCAGCTTGCGATAAACTGCGCGCCTCAGCTCATAAGATATTGCGACGCATTGGGATATATTGGCAGTTTCGTTCTTGTTCACAGCTTTCAAATCTCCGACATTTCTCAGTTGAACGATGAGAGACATCTCGTGTGTTGAAAGCTGAAACCAACTGAAGCCCCGAGGCTGTCAAACCCTTGCTGCTCAAGGGGAAGCCGAGGCAGCACGCCTGACTGAGGCGCCAAAGCGCACCTATTGAGACATGTCATGCAATGATTATCATGATTGCAATCTCATATATCTCATGCAATAGCCAAAAGTCCTCATTTATCATCAAGTATCTATAGTTACTATCTGGTACTATGCAAAAAACATACAGTATCATACAACAATATCATCAACAAATTGTAGTTACCTACGTTGTCTGTGCTTCAGTGCTTGTCCTTCAGAGTCACATCATGGATGTCTCAGGCAGAAGCCGCTGCGGCGGCAAAAGCGAGACAGCAAGCTGAGCCCAACCAAGTGGAGGCAATGGGATATTTTGGATGTTTCCACATATCTGCAAAACATGGGTTGCGGGTTGCATATCGTTTATAACCAAGATCATGGGTCAACTGAAACAGACCAAATTTGGTGGAATTTTGGGAGCATCCCAGGAAGATCGCTTGCATTTGCGTCAGCTTCACTCCCAGCTTCAGCAGCTCATACACGCGGCCGGAGGACTCAAGGTTGCCGGTTGCTGAAACATGTTCAAACTCCCCCAAAAAAATTCAGGTATTGTCGGATGGAAATCAAAATCGGAGTCCAAAGGAGGAGTTCACCTTTGGATGATATGGCGCTTTTTTGGATTCCGGACGCAATTTCACTGCAGCCCTTGCACTGCGAAGTTGGACGAGCAGCTCTGTAAGGCCAAAGTAACCGGAGAGCTCGAGGCGAAAGCTGCCAAGGTTGGCTTCTTCTTGGACTTTGCAGTGATCTGATGTAGCACTCGCAGAGATTTGCTGAGTGCAGATGGTGAACCGGTGAAACTGTTCTGATATTTGGCTGCTTCACCTTTGGTTGATCTACCACACTTCGGTTTTGTATGGGTTTTGTCATAGCCGTCATAGAAAAGATTGGTGCATCAACCAGTTAAAGCCCACAATTTTCACGGAACTCAACTCTGCCCATAGCTAGGCTCTGTCCGAAGCCGCAGATGAGAGAGAGGACCTCCCAGGTGGGCTTGATGAGGCCAGCGCTGGCCTTTTGGGGAAGCAACATGGAAAAATCACGGAAGATTCACGGAACACCCTGAAAAATTGCACATCATCGATCAAATTATGGAACTTCATAGAAAAATTCAGGCTGAACACCATGGAAAGTCAATGAAAATCATGGAACTTCATAGAAAATCCTGAGGAATGCAGGAAATGAATCCATGGAAATCCCACCGGCCAAAATGCTGGGCCAGGTCCTGGCCTACCAGACCCTGGTGGCGCGGCTCCGCTCGGAGCTGCGCTGGGAAAAGGAGCGACGCCACAGTTGCGACGAGGAAACCCGGGGGGTTTCCCGGGTTTCTCTGAGGGTCCCAAATAGATAGATCCATTATGATCCACTTCTGATCCGTTTGTAGATTCTATACATCCAGATATATAAAGCCATTATAGATCCAAATAGATGGTGGAGATGGTGATAAACCTGAAAACATTGGATTATGATATATGTATATAAATATAATATATATATATAATTTATGTACATAAATAATTATACATATATACATATATATATATACAATTATATATATAGGGCTTGATAAATGGTGACATGTGCCAACCCCTGATACCTACCAAATAGATCCAAATAGCCATTTAGTGATGATAAAGATGATGATCAAATTGGATCATTTGCAGATAATTGTTCAATTTATGATGGCAAGTTGCATGGGGAAAATTGAAAATGATGATGCTCCATGTTTTTAATTTTTGACTCATTTTCAGACCTAGATTTTTTTTTTGGTCGCTTGGTGTGAAAATTGGGTTTGCCCCAATTTTATGGCATCTGAATTGGGGCCATCCTTTTCAGTTTACATTATTTCAGATGATTTTGGGTGATGTTTGTCAAACAATTCAACACGAGTTGGTTGAGAAGAAGCAATACAGTGGTTCTATATAAGTTTAGATTGCATCCACCCGAGATCAATTCTACGTGTTTATAGATGATTCCGATGCAGAGAACCAGCTGCCAGTGGATCCGCTGGCTGTGTCTAGGCTTTAGAAACCCTTCGGGGTTCGTATGGCCTCCAGCTCAGGGCCAGCACTATATACGAGAAACCCGCACTGAGGTTACAGATATCTTCTATGCTAAGCATCAGACACTCAAAACAAACTCCATGTATACATGCAAGAATCACCAGCTGGAACACGTGCGTCTGAATTCATGACCGTTTTTGTTGCTTGTAGCGCAAGATCTGGCTGCGGCCTATAGTTTTGCAAGGTCTCTTACTGAGCAGGGCTTTGCGCGTTCGGAAGTGAGCTGCAGTGGCAGCCTTCAACCCAGGACGGAGACAACGTTTTAAAAGTAGTTTTTTGAACCAACCTGTACCATAAACTCTGCAAGCCATATGGCTTCAGGTAGGCTTAATGATCCCCTTTCAGCGTTTGCTGAAAACAGCTGTGCAAACTGAGCCTAGAATGTTGCTTTGTAGTTAGCAAATGCGGCATTTTGCATGCTTCATGAAGGTGGACGATTGTCAAGCGCAGAATGCCATCCTGACAATCGCATTTTTGGTTCAGCTGATAATTTTTCTTTTTTTTTGCTCCCTCGGGCGCGCGCCCAAAGTGAAAGGTCGAAGCCTCAGATGTTGAAATCATGGGTTTCCATGGGTTTCCATGGGCCCAACCCAAAGATGTCAGTCATCTGGGGTTTTTGTTAATTGTTGGTTTTTAATGGTTTTTAATCATTTTAATCCCAGATGTTGGTGCACGGATTGACCCGGCAGGCGATGCCTCCAAGCCTGGATGATTTTATTTTGATGAAGGCCTGGGCTCCTTGAAGATCCTGGATCGAGCAACAGGGTACCCCTTTGCTTCGCAGGTTATCGGGAAGGGATCCTATGGAAAGGTGCGGAAAGCCATGCTGCATGCTTTCTTTGAATTTGGAAGGCAAACTGCTGAGACTTTCAATGCAGTGGCTACAAGTTTGATGACCTTTAACCGGAGAGACCTTGGCCTCTAAAGGTGATGCTTGTGCGGCACAAGACCGAGGGAGAGGATCAAGTCTATGCAATGAAAATGCTCCGGAAGGAGTAGCCGAGTAGCCGAGCTGCGAGCTGTGCAGACTTGTGCAGAGGCTTATTTTCCTTAGGATGGTTGAATTGATTCTTTGGACCCTTCTGTCGAAAGATCCACAGTCTCCAAGCAGCCATGCAGGAGAATGTGATAAAGCGAAACCAAGTTGAGCACACGAAGACCGAGAGAAATGTCTTGGAGGTTTGTGCCGCTTGAGTCATGAGCTTCATGATCGATGTGGACTACAAACGATTCAGATGATGCACAAACAATCGCCATTTGACCCGGTTGTCATGCTAATCATCAGGCGGTCTCCCACCCTTTTATCGTGACGCTCCACTATGCATTTCAAACTCCGAAGAAGTCATCAGCTCAGCTTTGCAGAGATTTGTGCCATGACTGTAGCTGAGGGCTGAGTGATTGCATCACCTGAGGCTGTACTTTGTCCTGGAATACTGTTGTAGCCTTGGATTTCCGCAATGCCCTGACATGCCCTGACATGCCCTGACACTCAATCGAGCAGCCTCGCTGCTCGATGCATCGATCCAAGGTCCAGGAGGAGAGCTTTTTTTCACCTTAGCCGGGCTGGACGGTTTTCCGAGGGCAGATGCAGGCGACGCTGTTCAGCACTTGCTTCGAGGAAGATGGAACAGCAGGAAATGAGTAATTACACTGATTCACCATTGATTCACCTTGAAGAGATAGACTTCCAAGCTAGATTCTTCCAGTGGTTACTGGTCCTTCCAATTAGTGAAGGGCTTAGGCGTCAGATTTCGCGAACCAGGCCCAGAATTGAGGACTTGCAGATATTTGGCTGTTGCCCGATTTTTGGCTCAAAGGCAGGGGATCTCCCTTGCATCAATTGGGAAGGCGCAAAGATCTGATTTGATAATTTGGTTTCCACAGCTTTTCACTTGGCAATGTACTCTAAATCTCACAACTTTTGACAGATATTGATATTGATGCACTATTGGTTTTATGACTTCACTGTCCACTAACAGCCCTTCCTCATTTTCTCCATTTCCCTTTCTCCAGTTTCCCTTGCGACGCCGAGTCCGTCGCAGTTTGCATCGCCTTTTTCGGCTGGATCTCGCCATGTTTCATTGCTTCAGTGGACTTCTGCGCTGGCTGGTGAGGAGATGTTGCCGCCGCTCTGTGAAGGTGCCGATCCAATGGAATAGAGGAAACAGATGGATAGATAATGATATCCAATTGGGGATCCTATAACAATATCATAATATATCATAATATCATATAGATAACGGGAATATCCTATAATGATACCCAATAGATAATGGAATATGATAGGATCATGGGCGGTTTCCATTTTTTCTGAGGGGGATCCCCAATAGCTGGTTGGTTTACACAATCCGAAAATCAAATGGATGATTTAGTACCCCCCAACACTTAGGTTTCACAGTCCTTGTCCAGCCAGGCAGCTGTGGCATCTGTTGAGGTTGAATCCTCAGAGGGCAGGCAGTAGTGCGGTAAACCCATCAGGAACGCCCAGATTTTATGATTTATGAAACAAAAAAGGGACATGTTAAAGGCATGGTTTGTTGTGTTTGTCTACCACATTTCACCACATTGCTGAACTGCGAATCTTCATTTCTTAGTTCTACTATTGAACAAAATAGCCGCGATCTGCAGGTGAATGGCAGGCAATATCGAGTCATCAGGATCCTGTCTGCATAAGTCTGCATCAATTTGACGGTTCAGCTGTGATAGGGCTTTGCTACAAAGATTGCACCCCTTCGTCCTACACGCGATGTGAATTCTTGATGACTATCGCGGAGTTTCGGCCATGTCAGAATCTGTTGGGCAAATGACACCGTCACGCAGGAACTTCAATGGCCAGTTCATGCTCAGAACCGTCATGGCCTGAGTGGGTCAGTTTGACCATTTCGATGTGGAGCTGAGCCAACATTTGCTTGATGTTGGCGTTATGCCCTGTTGTGTCCTGTTGCTTAAGTATTAATTATGGGCCTCAGCTACAGATCTCAGATTTTTTGAGTCCATGACGCCCTGAGGGGTTGGACTATGACCTTGCCAACGACAAGGTGGATATTGAACAACCCGGGCGATTCTCCTGCTGGGGGTTCGCCAACAAGGTGCGGTGCCCGTCAATTTTGTTTGGATCCAACACAGAACCACTTGTTCTGGCATTAATACAGGGGGATTACATTGTACCATTTTGTATCTTGATGTAGAAACTATCATCACGCCAATGAACTAGTATTATTCAATATTATTCATAGATTTATGCAAATTCGGCTGCATAGTTCAGAGATGGGATGTCATCCTGAACGACCAACCAATATTGACCATTCTCAGGATGCGTCAACTTTTGACCGGCGATGCCCCAGGACTATGCGCGCACCGAGTGCACGGAGGAGACGGCTTCACCTGACCTATCAGAAGATGGGATGAGTGAGGAGCTGTGCCTTTGATATGTCGGGAATGTTTGGAATGTACATCCTAAAACTATTGTGAACATATGCTGTGGCTGATCTTTTGGTTGAATATGGTTGATGAAGAAGTCTTGGAGATTCTAAACATATTCTGATGAAAGATATGAAAGGCAAATGAATGAGGATTTCGACATGGTTTGGTTCTACAGTAGTCAGAAGATCTGCATAGTGCTTGAAATCCTTCTGCCGAATCCAACAGCTCTGAACTTCGGGTTTCTCCAAAAATAGGAATACAATGGAGCCATGGAATACCCCAAAAAGATCCACAGGTTGATCCAATGGTTTATAAGTTGCTGGTATATGGGGGTTTTCAATCCATTGGGGGTAGCCCCAAGTCATCCATTTATAGGATTTTCCATTGTAAACCATCCATTTTGGGGTACCAGAATTTAGGACCCCCTGTATCATTATCACAAAAAACTCACCAGTAAAAATGAGCAGCCAGGTCACAAGAAGGTGGTCCACAGCCCCGCACAATTTTCCATGCGTTGCACTTAACCTTTGACGACATTCGCACCTTGGCATTGTGGCTTTGTGGTCGGTGCACCTGGGAAATCCCCGCAAGCCTTCTGAATGATTCCCGGAAGCCCAACAGTTCCGTTGGTTAATAATCATCATCCCATATATATTATCCCCCTTATTTTGAAGGTTTTTTGAAATGTCATAATTAGGTCCGGCTGCCCCATTTTCAGCTCACCCATTTTCGGGGATCGGTCCCCCAACATCCATTCCTATATTGCCTAAAAAATTCACCCAGCGACTTGTTGAATGTCCAAGTTTTGCAGATTTTTCACACTCTTTCCACCAAGACACATGGAAGGATTCAGGGCGATGGTGAGTTGTCTTATTTCTATTTATTTCTTCGTTCCATCAATTTTGGGACAATCAGATCCAGAATCACGCCTCAACCGTTGAAGCCCCACCCCGAAAAAAACTGCCTCGGCTTGGTGTCTACTGAAGGTCGGATTCTCCCTGAATTGGCTTGGAAGGGCTTCGATGCCATCCAAATTCCTCCAGCACAGGTCAGTCCGAATGGTGGGAACCTCGTATTGCTGTGAAACGGTGCCTCTAATGGTGGAAGCATCAGCCTTTGGTTGCAACTGTATGCAACTGTTGCATCATCTTTCCTCTGAGGTGACCTGCGCAGAGACTGGTACCTCCGCTACCAGCCAGTGAACTATCAGCACATTGATCTGCGATTAGGCACGAACCGCAACCATTACGACGCTGACTCTGGAGAGTTCTGTTTGGATCTGCTGTTTGGTTAGGATCCCAGCACTGAATTGCAGGTGGAGCTGAAAGCTTGCAGCGACTCTGTGAAGAAGCATCTGGGCATGGCATGACAGTGAATCTTGGCAGAAGCATATCATGAACAAGCTTAAACCACAAAATACTTGAGGTAAGAGAAAGCCCGAAATTCATAAAGCACCGAGCCGCAGCCTTCCATGAGTGGCATGTCCTTTGATTTCTTCTCAACATTTTTCATATTTTTCGACTCCCAATGTGAATGAGTTCGAATGGAGGATTGCCGACTGCGTCTTCAACCACATGGCCGTGGTGGCTTCTTGTGCAGAATGGCAAGAAGCTCAGCACAACGGGCACAAGATGGAAGAGTTGCAACAACGCCTCGATCGCACCTTTGGTCCTCACTTGGATCGCCATGACTTTCAATGGCCCTGGGTTTGCCTTGAGGGTGAGAAGTGGGACGATCCGCACTACATGTTTGAGGGCTGGGGATGTGGCGAGTGGAGCGAGCTTCGTTTCAGTGAGAAAGTGATTGCCCAACATTTGCAGCATCTTCGCATGCTGTTGAACTGCGGCGTCACTGGATTCCGTCTGGACGCTGCCAAACACATGCGCCCAGAACATGTGGCAAGGTATGTCGACTTCATACACGGAGAGGGAGCCTTCGTCTACGCGGAGGTCTTGTCAATGGACAAACACTTGCACGCACAGTACGAGAAGTTGGGCAGGGGCGTGCCATCCACAGACTTTCTTCTCGCTGCTGATTTGGCCAAAGCTTGGCGTGCGGAAGACGCTGGCAGCATCTCTGCTCAGTTGCAGGCTTGTGAGCATTTGGGTAGCAATTCCATTCAGTTCGTGCGGAATCACGACACGATGCTCAATGATGGCTCCATTTGCGGAATTGACTGGTCCAGTGCCGAAGAAGCATCTTTGGCCTGGGCGCATCTCATAGCCAGGAACGAGGGAACTATCCTGATGCACCAGGATGACATTCACGTCCCGCTGATCCATGCTGCCTTGTCCTTCAGATCTGACCTCTCCTCCCTGGCGGCCAGCCAAGCTCCTTACGCCTTGAAGACCGAATTGGCTGCCTGGCCACCGCCAAGTTACCAGACCATTGCCATGCTGCTGACCCTGGCAGAGTGCCCAGTTGGCCTGGCCATCTTCAACACCACCAACCATGAGCAGACCATGGATATCCCATGGCAACTCAACAGCTACAGTTTGCAGGAAGTCAAGGCACCAAGCTCTCACAATGACCATATGCAGGCTGGATCTTCGGGGCTGACTCGGTATTTAGAATTCAAGGTGTGAAACAAAGTTGGCTCTTTGGCTCGATTCGATGAGATGATATAGATATCGAATCACGGCACATGACATCTCCGATATATCTCAGATACAGTATATCTCAGGATTCTCAGGTTTATCGCAGGTTTATCTCAGGAGCGTTTCAGCATATTTCAGCATATCTCGGCATCTCGTGCTTGCTGTGTTCCCAGGCTGGATGTTCTCCATCGCACTTGGACAAGCGGCTGCCACCACGAATGGCGCGTTTCTTTCTTTTGGAATGCTTCTCTGGGCCGTTGATTCAGCCAAATCCCGAGATTCGCTACATGACGCTTCTTGGTATTATGAATGGTCTTGAGCAATTCATGCATTGCTTTTGGAAATTTGGAAATGAAATCGTGGTGTAATATGGGGGTTTCCATCAACGGGGGTATCCCATGGTATCCCCCAAATGGATGGGTAATGGAAAATAGAATTAATTAAATTTAATTAATTAATATATATGAATTAAATATAATTAACATGGATGTTTCATGGGCAGTTCTTTGACGTTTCAGCCAGTTAGAAGCGCTTGGGCGAGGCTCTTCTACTTCTCGGGCTGGGAATCTCCACACATTCACTTCTGCGTAGAGCATGTGTGGACGCGCTGCCCTGGCTGGAGCATGCGGAAGTGCGATAAGCCGGCAGTGCAAGGCCAAGCTTGCCGTCAGTGCGTTTCATTAACATATTCAATTTCAATCAATTTCAAATATTTGTCAACATATTGACAAATATAGATTCGAGATATTTTGATATCATTTGCTTTGTGCTTTGGCCTGCGCTTTCTTCAAGTGGCAACTCCAAGCAGAAAACGTCAGAAAATCAAAGGTTTCAGCCATGATTTCTTTCGCAGCTCTGACCGGGTTCCAGGCTTCAAACTGCCCCGGGCCGGTCATCACGGACGCTGGTGGCGCGTGGATGTTCCCCTGCGAATGCGATGCTCTGTGGAGTTCGTGTTGAATGATGGTGGTCACAGTGGCTTGGCATCATCAAAGTGTTAGTAAAAGATCTTGAACGATCTTAAAATCTTACTGAATGTATCTGAATGTATCTGAATGTGTTTATCTAGTTGAGTTCTGTTTAGTTCATAGTTCATTCAATTCATATGAATTTTATGCTCTCCCAAGGTCAGCGGCTGCAATGTTTAGACAACAACATAGACAATGACAAGACGACATACAAATGTCGTAACATGTCAGTGTTCTGAGATTCTGAGGCTGGGACAATCATCCAAGTGCTCTGGGGAACTACATCGCAGAAATGCCGGGCTTGCACATTTTGGTGAACAAGAAGCTTGCGATGCTCAGATGGCAAAATGATTAATAGAACACGCATGGATAAGACAAGTGCACTCAAGTGGTTTAGTCGCTTCGATTTTACTTTCAAGAAACCGGAGTGCAGCATGCAGAAACATCCGCAAACAGGATGGGAAGTACGGCTTTTCTGCAAGCACTGCCATTGGATTTGTCAGCTTTCAGCTACTCAGGATTCAGATTCTGGAATGTATGAAACGCATAAAACGCATACTAAATATGATGATGATGATGATGATGATGATGATGATGATGATGATGATGATGATGATGATGATGTGAACCCGGTGTGACCGGGTTGCATCAACTTCCCTGGAAGCAATTTATGTGACCCGTCATGTAATTTACAAAAAGTTGACGTGACTACCCCTTCCAACTGTTGAAGTTCACCACCTGCTGCTACAGCGACCCAAATCGTGACTCAGGAGCTTGTGCCTCTAAAGTCCGCCACTGAGGGCGCGACAAGGGCCTTGATTGGTTGATGCACAATTTCGAAATCGCAAGGTTTGAAGTGTGAGCGTCATCGTCAGCATGTGAAGGATCCTGATATTGCTCATGATTGAAATATACTCAAACTCATTCAAACTCAAATGCTTCAAATCTATTTTTTTGGAACTGCTAGAGTCCTCAAGCCTCGCGTTCTTTCTCCGAAAGGTGCTTTGTCGGATGCCACAAGCTTTCAAGCTGGCACTCAAAGACTAAGCACATTCCAATCCATTGAAAGAGCTTTTCGCCACACTGCCACGAATCGTAGCACGTAGCCAATTCTCCTCTGGACCCACTTCAAAGTTGTGATGCTAGTTTTGTTGGCTCTTCCTCAGGCTGCGAGCCATCCCAAGCCAGGAATAAAGAGGGAATGCCAGGTAAGACAGCGGGGTGGGGCCAGTGGTTAGGTCGCATTTCCATGTGCTGCCTCAGAGGCTGAACGAGCGGCAAAGCCGCTTTCACTCGAAATCTGGCAGCAACATGATCTCCATGTGCCCAGTGCCATCCCAGTGACACAACTGCCCAGTCAAAATGAACACCATTGGGACCGAAGATGTGGGATACCAATCACATCCAATCACATCCAATCACGTCCAATCACATCCAAATCACCTGAAATCACCTGAAATCATCTCAAATCACCTAGAATCACCCAAAGCCAAGAGGGATCAGGAAGGTTCTTGGAGAAATTTGGATGACTGGGTTGGCCTGGCGGGAATTCGTGCACTTGGTCACTTGGGCCATTCTGGTCAGCCAGTTGGCCTTGCACCAAGTGCCTGATGGCTTGCCTCATGGCTTCCATCTCAAGAGCACTTGCAAACAAAGTCGCCCCGCCTGAGATCAAGCCTTTCAAAACATTACTAGGTTTCCTAAAATGCTATTGATATCCCTGCACCATATTTCATCATAATATGCGGAATCATGTCCTGACTCGGAATTCGTTGTGGCAAAAACCCTGCTAGGTTCTAGACAGTCCAAACACTTTGTTTGCAATGTGTCCTTTATAATTTTGTTAGCCTGCAGAGTTTGAGTTTCGCTGATGCATGGGTCGCATCGGATGTTGAAACTTTGTAGCCAGCCAGCCACACAGGGCCACCGGTGGCTCAAAGGGAGACTCAACAGGAGAGTCCTTGAGCTCTTTGGAGCTTGGGCTCAGAGACTCTTTGGACAACCCAGATCCGATCGATATCGATCGATGGCGACATCCACTCGAACGGTGGCCTAAAGGATGCAGCTGGAAAAGCTGCTGGAACAGCCCAGCTGCAAACCATTCCAGACAAAGGGCTGAAACTTGAGGAATGGACAACTCAATGTCAATGGCAAACAAACTGGAAAACATGTTGGACAAAGTCTTCAAGCTATCGGAAGATATCGCTTTTCCTCAAGTTGGAAGTCTGATTTGATGACACTTGAGGCCAGGTTTAAAGAGTACCTTTTAATAATGTAAGAAACGCCATACGTCTGGACGTCCAGTTTGGCGAATGGTGAACGAAGAGACAGACCGAAGCGTTCGATCTTTGTTAAAATGGCCTAGCTGTGGCCGTACTGGCCATTTGGAATATGTAGTAGTGAATGATCGTATAATATTGTACGTCAATCATTGAATCAATGCATGTTGTATATATGTATATATATATATAGATAATTATATATATATAAATGTTCCACAATGTTCCAGCAGATCGGGATTGGAACCAACTGTACAGATTTGGAGCTGACATATTTCTTCTTAGTCCTAGTAGCAAGGGAAGGATACATCTGAACGCAAATGGTTAAAATCAATTCACGTGAGCGACTTTGCCCCGATCGCCTTGCAGATTCTATGCATGCGAGATCCTGCTGGCGATCGAATACTTGCATAGGTCGCGTTGGTTGTCATTTGCTACTCGAATTTCAAGTTGGCGCGACTCCAATGTTTCAGCATGTTAGAGCACTTGATTCATGGAATCCGAAAGTTATGTACGGTATGTCCAACGGGGAAATGTCGAAAATGTGTCGGCGTCTCCTGGCTCCAGGCTTAACATCATCTACAGGGACCTGAAGCCAGAGAACATTCTCCTGGATGCCGATGGCATAAAGCTCAGCCGGCTGCATGCGATGGCATGGTGTTTCAGTTGAGTTACCCTCTGGTAATTTAACATAGCTATGGAAAATCACCATTTTCAATGGGAAAATCCACTATAAATGGTCATTTTCAATAGCTATGTTAAATTACCAGAGGGTATATAGTTGGTTGAGTTCATATTATAAATCCTCAAAAGCTGGGTGCGACACTGTCTGGCTCGTGCGCCAGGTCATGTCAAGTTGACAGACTTTGGCCTCAGTAAGGAGGGCATTCAGGACCATGGGGATGCGGCATCATAATGCATCAGTCCACCTTAGTGTAGGCACTTCCGATAGCTCATTTTGAAGCATTGCTTTTCTTCCACAGCTGAAAGCATCCCATAGGTCAACTCCCAGCCGCCTTGCTGTTACACATCAGCTACATCAGCTACCCAGGACAACTTCTCAGCGCGATCCATGTGCGGTCCGAGCACCCAAAGAAGGCAATGAACAAAATGGGCACTGTTTGGGTGAGGTGGTTCATCAAAGCAATGGGTCAATTGGATTCGGGCAATGTTGCACAACGTCGGAAGATTCGGGGTGCTTTGAAGCAGGGCTTATGAATGTGTTCCCCTTCGGACAGCCCAGGTACACCAGAGTACTTGGCACCAGAGATTCTAGACAAAAGAGGACATGGAAAAGCTGTCGACTGGTCCGCAGTGTGGGGTGTTTTGGGCCCATGGGCATATCCAATGCTGCTAGTCTATGGCGAGAGTCAAAGGCGGACTGACAGAAGACAAACTGACACGCAATGTGCAGTTCCAGGCCTTGGAACAAGGAACAGAGACTGCTTGAGATGGTTGTTTTGTGATATTGTCCGCGTGCTAAGTGCTAATCTGTTCCCACTACTACTTGGGTAGTATCTCAAAATCGGGGAGTTAGTGCAAAGTTGTCATCTCAATTCCTCCTGAAACGTTCTTACCAGGTACTCTCTGGGTGCACTCATGTATGAGATGCTCACAGGGCGGCATCCTCAGGGTATTGATTTGCTGGACATGAGGCGCCCGTCTCATCCCCTCTCCCGTGCCTGAAGGCTTCCACCATTCTACACCAGAGACAGAGAGAAGCTCTTTGAGGTCGTGCGCTTTGATCCATAGCCTAGCGGTATAGCTAGCTTTCTTGAATGTGTGGATGCGCAAAGCGCTCTTGATGTATCTTGATGTATCTTGATGTATCTTGATGTATCTTGATGTATCTTGATGTATCTTGATGTATATATCTTGATTTATCTTGATGTATGATATTGTATGATATATCTTGATATCTGACTTGGTTTCTTTTTCTCTCCTCAAAACTCATCTTGACTCAAATCTTGACTCATCTTTACTTATTTTGACTTCAAGCTTTGACTTCAAACTTCCAGATGCTTCCAGATGCTTCCAGATGCTTCCAGAGAATCTGACGCTGCACCGTTGCACCGTTGCACCGTGCCAGCGAATCCGACGGGGAGAGCTTACCTACCCATCCTACATCACAGCCATCGCCTGGGCCCAAGCGTTTAGCGAAGCCTTTAGCGTCGTGGCTCAAAAACACTGGAACCAGGGAGATGTCTAGATCTTTAATTCGACTGATTTGACTGATTAGACTGATTCGACTGCAAAACTGATCTTTGATATAATCTTCGAGATATTTGGAGATATTTAGAGATGTCTCATGATACTTCTAATTGTTTCTGCATGTTTCTGCTAGCGCTTGGATCGGATTGGTGGCCTAATTGATGCTTAGTGTGATGCTGTGAATGTTATGAGGCAAAGAATCTGCTCCAGCAACTTCTCACAGGAGTGCAGCACTCAGGTTGGGCCATGGACCTGTCCAGGAGGGAAGTGCAGTTGGGAACGGGACGTACATCAACAGCAAGCATTGGTGCATATTGGTGCTTGCAAGGTAAGAACATTGTCATAACATTGTCATTGGCCATAATTGGCTCAAGATTTGAGCTTATGATTGATTGCATTGGATGCCAACATGCATGGTAAAAGGGCCACAACAAACCTTCTTTATCCTTCTTTATCTTGTAGGTGACCTATTCGTAATTCACATGGACCAGTCCCGTCTTTACCAAACATGGGAGATCCTGTGCCCAGCAACCGCTTCGATCGATGGCGTTTCGTACTTCCGCGGCTTGGTGATTGGCCGCGGCTCACAGTTTCCAGCTGGCCATGATGGTACCTTGGACAGCAAGTATCAGTGACTCATGTTACATCGTGTTACAATGTGTTACATGTTCATTATGTTCCTGTTGCTTGCGCAAATGCTAAACAAAGTATAAACGGAGGCAACTTGGGCAGGAAGACTCATATTGTACTGTAATGTACAGGTCGTACAGGTCCCCTTCTTTTCAATGGATCAAGTGGATCAAGTTTGACCAGGGACAAAATGCCGGCAGGTGGCATTTTGACAGTATACTTTGCTAAGGAGGATCAGTATTTCAGGCCTTGACCTCTGACGAATCAACCAGGCATGTTGGAGAATGCCTTGCGAAAGCTGCTCAATGGAGACAATGCTGTTGCTCTTCAGAAGTTCCTGGCGGCACCCAGGTACGAAACGACAGGTGAAGGATGATTGAAGTGACCAAGTCATCAGTTTGCTGAGTGGTTCTTGATGGTTCTTGATGGTTCTTGATGGTTCTCGTATGTTTCCGAAATTTGGTAACTCCGAACTCCCCATTGATTGTTGGTAACATCATGTAACATCATGTAACATCCCTTGTTTTTTGTGGTTAAACGACGTTAAAGGCCCCATGTTCCATGCCGTGGCAGCCGTGGCAGGTTCCAGTTGCAAAGCTTGGCAACTTCCCATGGCTCCAAGCTCTGTCGCCTTGTTTGGGTTCTCTCCAAGCGTCAGGACGTGGTTGGGAACTTCTCTCTCGATATCTTTGGAGAGTGTTGATGGCTTTCCAACAATTTGAGGGACCAAAAGCCTAACAGCCTAACAGTTGTTGATTGTCGATGCTGGAATTGAAACTCACGGTTGCCTGAATCAATGAAGCCAGCTTTTCTGAGCCGTGCAGAACTGGTTTGGGACGCTGGGAAGGACCCGAAAGAGAGAAGAGAGAGATCTATCTCGACGTCGGCAGATCAGTTGCCCGCAAACTTAGGACGCCTTGGACTTGACGATGATCTAGAGCTGTAACAACAACACCAATTTGTGGCCCTTCCCCAGTTTCAGGATTGCTGCTTAAGTTGCAGCCAGTTCTGCGCTGTTCGACTCCTCGAGAAGTTGGAGATGTAGCCTGGGCTTTTGCGAGACACAGCCTGCTGGAGCAGAACTTTGTGTTGGACACCCAGAGAGCATTGAACTGGGTTGAATTTGGAATCTTCATGAACATTTAGCGATATGTTGATATGTCACGTGAGCCTGCTGAGCTGAAACTTTGTGCCAAAACTGCCCAAGGCTGCAACTGATGCGTTCATACCCAGAAGCTGGGGACCCTGCAACTTGGATGACCATGGATGACCATGGATGACCATGGATGACCATGGATGACCATGGACCAACTTGTTCGCCAAACTGCCCTTGCGACATCACGTCACTCGCCGTCGGCTGAGGTTTCCTTGGCAAATCTTCTGTGGGCTGCAGCATTGGCACAGCTGTCCCCTGCTGACGTGCAGCAACTTCTCCAAGGTCATGACCAGACCTTGCGCGAAGCGAAGAGAGTGGAGCTAGTGCGACTGCTGTGGGCCTTAGGCAAGGAAGAAAGGGAAGAATGGGATGAAATGGAGACGTGTGGAGTTTCTGATATAGCATTTCTATGTATTTGATTGTATTTGGAATTATTTGATTTATATAATTTATATATTTGCAAGTAGTGGCTTCCAAAGTGTATTTTTTTGCTGCATCAACAAATCATGGGTTCAAAGAGGAAGCTATTAATGTGGGGGGGAGTCATTTCAACAGGATTCCAATGGATTCCATTCAGATCATGATCCGATGAGTCAATGATTCAATCTCAACATGGTGTCCATTCGGATTGTTTCAATGGTGTCCATGGATGTCCATGGTGCCATTCGAAAGCTCATTCGAAAGCTCTGCGGCAGTTGTAGGTTCCATTCGGCTCCCACATCCCATTTTCCAGCGCTGCTCTGAGATTAGTTCAGATTCCAAGACGCAGGACACGGGCAGGGGTCTCTATATACTATATACACGGATCTATAGAACCTTTTTTTTTTTTATTTCACCTTTCGGTTATAGAGTTTCTCGACAGGCGATATTTACATTTACAACGGAAATAGAAGGAGCCCTGCAGGACTTGGCCAATGTATTGTGGGCAGTGAGTCGTGTAGCTTGCCCAGTGCCCAAACATTTGCTGGAAGAATTGGAGAAGCGAAGAGGTCAGGGTCTACCCGTTGTTGAGTTGGTGGCATGTATTTCTGCCTTAGCAGAGCTCCGCAACGTCACAAGTAGCCTCTGGAAATCGGTTGAGACCCTGGATAGCAGTGTGGGCACGCGTGCATTGGGCACACTGCTTTGGGCTCATGGAACTGCACAAGTCCTTCCACCTGCCTCATTGGTGAAGGTGCTGAATGTTTCACAGATGTCTCCGCAATCCTTGGCAAACTCTCTCTGGGCTTTCGCCAAACTTCAACTACCAATCAGCTCCACGAACATCGCTGCCGCTCAGAGGATTCTCACCCGTGAACTTGGGAAATTCAAAGCGCAAGAATTCGCCAGTTGTGTTTGGGCCGTCGGCTCCATGGAAAAACCTGCTGTAAAGTTCTTTGAAGATCTGCAGCTTCCCAAACTTGCGGAGTTGGAAGATCATCACTTATCCCAGGCGGGCCTGGGTGGCTTTCCACTTCACTTTGGTCAGGGATGGTTGTCATTTGTTCTCCCTGTACTCCGACGTAAAGAAAAATGGTGGTTTGGGTAGAACATAGCACTCGTACTGTACTCACGGCCATAGAGGTCAGTGTAGTTTGTGGGATCAAGATATGGGTATGGATCAATACCTATTAACAGTAATAGCATTTTTAGGGGAATGAACATCCATTTTAACCCAGCTATTTTGATGTGAACAGAAGGGGTACTATTGGTTTTGATACACTGTCATATATGAAAATCCAGTGCTGCAGTCCAGTATTGACTCGTATCAACTCCCTCTGCAGGTGGCTTGGGGAATAGCCAGCTCTGGAGTGAGACGCATTGAGGCAATGAACTCCTTAGCGTCTGAGATGATGTGCCGTGATGGCTTCAGCCTGCAGGCCATTGCCAACATCACCTGGGCCTTCAAAACGCTGGAAATCCCAGGCCAGCAGCCTCTGAGTGCCCACCTTGAAGGTTTAGTTGCCAGGAGGCTGATTGAAGCTAAGGGCATCCCAGCTCCAGAAGATGTCGACTCTTTGCTTGGCATCCTGTGGGCGAATCGCGAGAATCAAGGGCTCACTGCAGCAGTCACAAACTCCTTGCAATGCCTGGGTCGGAAAATGGATGCCTTGGGCTCTCGTGCAGAGCTGCCAAGTAGGCACCCTGAAGCCGGAGAGGGTCCTCAGGTGGCCTTGCAAGCTCCAGGAGTTGTGGTGATTGTCAAACCGCAAGATTGGGAAGTGGACACTGTTTGCACAGACACAGAAGACGCAGGTCCATCTAGTCCATCAGGTCCATCGGACAGGAAACTTTCCAACTATATCGATGGATTGAAGCTTGGCTTCAAGGCTGGCTTCATAGGTCGCTTGGACACACCTTCCAGCGGTTTACTGCTGCATGCCACTTCCTTCGAGGGTTTGTTCATGCTCCAGGCGCAAAGGGAGTTGGGCTTGTTGGAACGGGACTACCTGGTGCTTTGTCATGCCTGGCTTCCAGCAGAGTTGTTTGAGATCTCGGCCAAGCTTCGGAGAGTGGGTCGCAAGGCCGAGGTTTCGCCATATGGTCGACCCGCATGCACCCAGGTGAAGCTGCTAGCGCATCTAACAATGGATTCAGGCCCAGTGTCTCTACTAGCTGTGAGGATTGTATCTGGCAGAATGCATCAGATCAGATGTCACCTAGCACATGTTGGACATCCCGTGGTGGGCGACCGACGCTACTCAAAGGAGGCGAATGAGGCCAGGTGAGCAAGAATCTGCATAGAATGCTGCAGGCTATACAGTAGGCATATTTTTGCTAGACATTGGAAGCTACCCCAAGACTACTTTCTGGATGGTACCGATATGATTGCAAAGTGCAGCATCTTGGCAAGCTACAGACTACAGTATCATTGTATCATGCTAAAGCATCATGTTAAAGATGTAGAGAACAATTGCACTCTTGGCTGCCGCAGTTTCTCTTGTTGGCTGGAATTGTCTTGGGCTCGTGCGGCTGCAGGGGATGCCGCACTTTTTGCACCGCTATCGGCTCTCTTTTCGAGACACGGAGGGCAACGTGCAGGAGGTTCGGCAGCCGCTGCCACCGAAGCTACTGGAGCACTTGGTGCGGTGTTCCCCACGTTCCCCACAGGATGGGAAGAAGCTCCGGCCGTGGCTGGAAGATCGTCTTTTGAGCTGGGCAGAAGTTGGAGCAGTTGGACATTGATGCTGCGTTGAGTCAAAGGTGTGGATCTCCTTTCCAATGTCTTTGCAATTGATGAGTGATCACAGGATATCACAGCACTCGCTTGATCTGAATATAGATCTGAAATGATCTGAATGAATATGATTTTATATATTGATTATGTGTCACTTGTTCTGTATGTTCTGTTACCCCTGGTAAGACAACCTCAGCATTGCTGATGCATTTCAGAGATGTGAGTGAGATCGATTGTTTTGGAAGATGAGAACCATGCACCACTTGTGAGTCGCTCGTGTCTCCAAGGATCCTGCGAAGAGGTTGGGAGGCGGACCCTCTGATGGAGAGGAGGTGACCAAACTGCAGCTGCCATCATTTCTGTAGAGTCTGTAGAGGTAGCCATCACTGCTCCGGCTCCAATTGATATTCCAAGTTCTCTAGGTCAGCAAGGCTTGTTGCAATGCTTTCATCAATCAATGAGCCTTTATTTATATTCAATATGCCTCCACATGCCTCCACATGCCTCCACATTCTTTATCAAGTAAGATACTGTATGGTGAGTCCTCTTGCCCAGCTTTCGTACCCTCAACCAGCACTTTGTTGCATCCAAGGTGAAGGGACACCCTTTCTTCACCGGCATTGATTGGTTGGCGATCCAGCAGCGCAGAGTGACGCCACCCTTCAAGCCAAATGTCTCAGAGGCCGCCGTGAAGCGTGTGGATTCAGAACGCCACGAGTCATGAATTTCATGTCATGAATGATTTAGATGTTCAAAATCTTTCAAATACCTTGCGCTCAAGGGTGGTGACGTGAAGTATTTCGACAAGGAGTTCGTAGATTTACCAGTCTTGCACTCTGAGATACTCTGATTTTCTGGCAGTTCTCTCGGAACGTGGCAGACCCATGGTATCCATTGAAGTCCATTGATCCGCCGGGCACCGAGGTTGTGAACTCCGAAGTCGCAGACGGGGCTCACCTTCGGGACGTGAACCACTTCGAGGCAAGATGGAATTGGGAAATCGAATGGAAATCAGAAGCAGTTGGGTATGTCTGAAAATGGGGTATATAGCGCCGGACAACTACTTAGAACATCGTTTTGGAAATTTTTCGGTGGGTACGCGCGCTCTACTTAGAACATTTTCGGCGAATAGGGGACGTATGTTCTAAGTGGCTTAGAACATATGAGGATCCTCTACTTAGAACACGCCATCATATATACATGTAAATATATGTATATGTATACATACATACAACTGAACACTGCATATTTATATTATATATACAGGAGGTGTGATGTTGCGTCAATTGGGGCGGAGTCTTAATGACCAAGAAGCACAACGCTGGAAAGGAGGTCATCCTCCATGGGGACTCTGGTGGGTGTTTGATTAATTGGGATGGGATTCATATTATACAGGTTTGGAAAGTTTTTATTATATGAATATATAGTGCCGGACAACTACAATATTCAAAATATATTATATATACACAGGATTTTCCAAAATGCACGTAGATAGCTGGTGGGATTCTTTCTTAGAACATGGAGGAACCCCCAAAACCTCTGTGTATATATATATATATAGCGATGTACATACGATTCGAACATCAGGTTTGGAAAGTTTTTATTATATGAATATATAGTGCCGGACAACTACAATATTCAAAATATATTATATACACACAAGATTTTCCAAAATGCACGTAGATAGCTGGTGGGATTCTTACTTAGAACATGGAGGAACCCCCAAAACCTCTGGGTATATATATATATATATAGCGATGTACATACGATTCGAACATCAGGTTTGGAAAGTTTTTATTATATGAATATATAGTGCCGGACAACTACAATATTGAAAATATATTATATATACACAGGATTTTCCAAAATGCACGTAGATAGCTGGTGGGATTCTTACTTAGAACATGGAGGAACCCCCAAAACCTCTGTGTATATATATATATATAGCGATGTACATACGATTCGAACATCAGGTTTGGAAAGTTTTTATAATATGAATATATAGTGCCGGACAACTACAATATTCAAAATATATTATATATACACAGGATTTTCCAAAATGCACGTAAATAGCTGGTGGGATTCTTACTTAGAACATGGAGGAACCC